GAAAGAATGAGTGTGGCAAGTAGTTTAAACAGAGATGTTACTTTGGTTGTTGCAAATAAACTAATGGCTTAAACAACACTTTTTAACCCTTTGCATTCACTTGCTTTCTTCTCGATTCCTTTATTCTACTCGGGATTTAATTTTTTAAATACCCTAGATTTTACAAAGCGCGGCAGTAGAATAAAAAACTGGAGTTTCTTTTCGTACAAACTTATTTATTTGGATTTTTTAATATTTCAAAGTATTGATACATTCAAAGAGTAATTTTAATCTCTATAATTTTTGCTGTGTCGAGTCACACTTGACATCCGAGTGCAAAGGGTTAAGATTATAACCTAATTGACTGGTACTCCAATGTGGACTGCTCAACAGATTGAAAGAATTCTTATTTAAGAACACTTTTTAATCTAATTAGAAACAAAAATGCTTGCTTCCACAGAAACATACATAGCAAAAGATTATCAAATTTCTGTTCAAAAGATCAGCAGTTACTATTACTTGATTTAAAAAACCAAAAAAAATTACACACAGAAAAAACTCAAACAGTAATCTAGTAAAGAAATGATTTTTTAAAGCTTAATATTAAGTGTTTTCAGAAAAACTGTTAAAACAAATTTTAGAACTTAAGGTTCATCAATTTTACATAGTTTACTGAAGTAGTGTCAGTGGATATTTACCTACCACTCACTAAGTTCAGAAGATACTACTTTTCACATACATTAGAGAATTGAGAATTTTCCATTTCAACAGCTGATTATAATATTGAACATGGTCAAAAAGATATGAACTACTAACATTAGATGCAGTTGGGTTAAAAGTTTTAATTAGTATCTGGCTTAAATTTTTACTTTCTCCTAAAGATATTCAATGGGCCCTTCAGAAGTATTGGGGAGACTATCAGAGAAACTGGAGCAGTAATAACAAAATTGAAATTTAAGAGCTATATACAGTCGAAGAATTGATAGTTGAAGGACTGATAACAACCCAAGTTTCCAAGATTTTATCTTTAAAAATAGTATGCTTCTCTTGAGGAAGAGGTTTTATTCTAACAATAGTCTTTCATTAGAGGTAACAGAACCTTTTCAGTTCTAAATCCCTTCTCTCATACCAAGTGCAGTCTACTCCAAACTGGGCTAGGAGTCCAAATTAAAAATATGCAAAGAGTACCCTAACCAAAGTGGGAAAGGACCAGCCAAGTCCTAATAGAGCAGCCGTCTGTAGTATAAGACAGAGCTAAAATCACCAAAAACCCCAGAAAAAAAGAGAACAGCTCCCATAGGTCTCTCTCCACCCAAGTTAACTTTTGTCAAAAGGAGTTCTGCCCCCTGTATACTTTTGAAAGGAGACATAACCATCCATATTCAGTAACTTAACATACACATACAAATGATGTCAGAGGGTAGATAGGTCTATGGTATTTTAAATAACTCCAGACACATTATATATCAAATTCATGATTAAAAGAAGTTATGAACAAGCAGTAAAATTACATTAGTTTATGTTCCCGGAAATAGTGATTACTTACAGAGAAAATGTATACTACATATAATTAATTTTTTTCATAAGACGCTTTAAAAGCAGACCAAAATCTCTATCAGAAGAAAGATAAAAATAATACTCCTACAGTTGCTTCATAATACAATATTATACTTTATTTTGGGGAAGAGGCAGAGACTTAACTATGATCATTAAAAAGCAACAAAAATAGTTGATTTTAGTAATCATTTTCTGGAGTTACTCCTCCTTACCTTGGCTTGGAATTCCATAAAACTCTTCTCTGAACATTGTTTCCTGTCTGAAAACTAAGAACCAAAACTACAAACTTCTAAGTTCTTCCACTTTACACAGAAGTCAATAAACTAGTTTTAATATCGGACTGGATTTCAAGATTCTATTCTCTGTTCCTATTTGGCTGAAAGTTATACATATTATCAAGAGAGTTTCTATCGATTTTCAACTAGAAGTATCAGTTTTGCTGTCGGAGCTCTTTATTTTCGTACATAAAAGGAAGTGGGTTTTGATACTATCTCAATGTTCTTCCTGTCTTACAATGCATTTGAAATAGAGTGATGTCAGATTGAGAGTAAAAGCCCTAAGTAAGAAAAAGAACAGGCACAATTAGTTTGCTTTAAATTTATTGATAACTAAAACTGATTCAAAACTGCTTTGCTGCATGCTGCTAGTATCACTGCTGGCTACAAGTCTGTCACTTTAATTTGCACTGGACTACAAAAACACTCATATATATACCTAAAAATTCATATGGTACGTATACCATAGGTATGGCCCATGAATGACAGGTGCATATTCTATGAGAAACTAAATCATTCTTCATTATTAGTAGCTTGGCATTTATCCATTTATTTTATTTTTTTTTTTTTGAGACACAGTCTCACTCTGTTGCCCAAGCTAGAGTGCTGTGGCGTCAGCCTAGCTCACAGCAACCTCAAACTCCTGGGCTCAAGCAATCCTCTTGCCTCAGCCTCCTGAGTAGCTAGGACCATAGGCATGCGCCACCATGCCTGGCTAATTATATATATATATATATATATATATATTTTTTTTTAGTTGGCCGATTCATTTCTTTCTATTTGTAGTAGAGACAGGGTCTCACTCTTGGCTCAGGCTGGTTTCAAACTCCTGACCTTGAGCGATCCCTCCCACCTCAGCCTTCCGGAGTGCTAGGATTACAGGCGTGAGCCACCATGCCTAGTCGGATCCATTTCTTGAGAATATCAGAGCTGCTTAGGTAAATATGAATTATATGAGACATCATGTGCACCTCTCAACCCCGCCTTCCAAACACCACATACAGCTCATTGTCCTCTCAGTTTTCTAAACCACCTAAACCCTGAAGAGAATTTTTCAGAACATCCCATCTTACTGTAAACCAAGGACAAATAATCAACATTGTGATAATTTCTAGAAGAGGAATGAATGAAAGGGAGCTCAAAAACAACTTAACTGGACCCAAGTTAGAATTTGGTATTACTCTGCTGTTAATGTCTTCTATTATTATGCTATTCAAATCTACCTATTAAGCTACTGAAAATAGGGTTCTGTGATTATTTTTTAGATCTTCCTGTATCTTAAAACATTTACATAAAATCCTTACAGATAGCCATTAATAAGCATTATATCTGAGCACAAGAAGCACAGAAGCAACAGTCACTACTCGAACAGCTACTGCAGCATATATGACTCTTGAAAAGCAAGGACTCCCATATATGTATTCCTAAACAATCATTTTGTTGCTAGTTTACTAGACTGACCTTTAATATTGATTTCCCCCTTCTAACCTCAAACAGGAAACATGAATCTTGCTAATTGTTTCACTTGCCTGATGACATGGCTTGCTTCCTAATCTTAAATGTATTAATTTCCAAACTTAAAAAGAGAAGTTTAAATTGGGGAGAAGCAGGGGAGAGCCAGAGCTCTTCTCATTTTTGTCTTCACCCTTTCAAAAATAGGTGCTTAGTGGACCCGAGGAATAGAAGGCCCTAGGACCATACCACCTTTTACTATTAACAGGGATTACTTTAAAATTACACATCAAGAATAATGTTCAGAGGCCAGCCCCATTTGTCTTGCTTTCATTGCATTTGTTCCTAACAATTGAAGTCTGAGTAGCTCTCCAAGTGGTTATGATTCAAAGCTAAGATCCTCTGATTACAAAGTTAGCCCAAATTGCATATGCAGTAACTATACCAGAGAGCATAGATAAGGCCACCAATCAACTCAATTTTCTCTAGGAGTAGCATAAACATTGAACACAGGGATGGTAATGAATCAGAACTATTTTTCTGATATAGACAAATTAATAGCTCTGAAGGCACTTAAATGAACGAGCCTAGTATCCTACAAACATAACCTTAGCTTCTAGAGCCAAAGACAGCTCATCTATCATCACTCAAATCTAAGAGGATATTCAAGTTAGGGAAAATCCTGAATGTCTACTTTGCTGTGGAATATCTCTGTATCAGTCCTTGTAAATGAATCATCATGAGTTGGCTTAAAATTTGCCTTACCATGTACAGCAAAATTATAAATATTGGGGTAAAAAAGATTTGCCCTCTTCAAATACTCTGACAAGAAACTGCCCACACAAAAACTGCACATAGATGTTTACAGCAGCTTTACTCATAATTGCCAAAGTTTGGAAACAACCAAGATGTCTTTCAGTAGGTGAATGGATAAACTGTAGCACACCCAATGATGGAATACTCTTCAGCACTAAAAGGAAATGAGCTGTCACGCCATGAAAAAATGTGGAGGAATCTTAAATGCACATTACTAAATAAAAGAAGCCAATTTGAAAAGTTTCCAACTATAAGACATTCTGGAAAAGGCAAAACTATGGAAATGATAAGAAGTCTGTGATCGCCAAGGGTTAGGAGGGAGGAAGGTACAAACAGATGAAGCACAGAGGATTTCAGAGCAATGAAACTATTCTGTATGATACTATAATGGTGAATACATGTCATTACATGTTACACATTTATCCAAAGCCATACAACATACTCCCAAGAATAAATTCTAACGTACACTATGGACTTTGGGTGATAATGATGTGCCAATGTAGGGTTAGCAACAGGGTTAGCAATTTTAACAAATATATCACTCTGGTGGGGGACACTGATGGAGGGAGGCTGTGCATCTGTGGGGGCAGGGAGTACATGGGAAATCTTTTACCTTACAATCAATTTTACTGTGAACATAAAACTGTTCTCAAAAAGAAAGGATTTTTAAAAAGAAATGTCTTGGACACACTAGCCATATTTCAAGTTTTCAATAGGCCCATGTAGCTAATGGCTATTGTGTTGTGCTGAACAGCAAAGATACAAACATTTCCATCACTGCAGGAAACTCTCCCAACAGTACTGTTCTGGAGGGTAAGAGAAAGAGACTGACTGACCTGGGGTCTGGGAAAAGAGGAATTACTGACAAGGACATTTGCCTTACAGCATTTAGCACTGTATTGAAGGATCAGGTAGATTTACCTTTCCTTTTCCACCTGCTCTTTTTTCCCTCTTTGTTGCTGCCACCATCACTGCTGCTGCTGCTGTTCTCAGAACTCTGGGAATCTGACTGACCATCACTGCTTTCTTCTGAACCTTCTGATAGCTCTTTCACCCCATCCGGCACATCTTTCTGAAAATGTAGGCATCCAATTAGGATTAATCATTACCATTTCAGCAAACAGGAATTAAATTTCTGGTATGCAACACTGCAATTTAATTGCACTGATTAATTTTTAGCATTATAGGATTCTGTAGCAGAACCAGCAATATCTTCTGAATTCCTGTCATCTCTCTTTTTGGATCAAATAAGCTAACGTTTCCATCTACAGCCAAAGATAAAATTATACACAACATTCACATGCATACAAAATAGAGGCTTAAATTAGACAAAAAATGGGTAGTCCAGGTAAATATTCTGGATAAAAAACTAAATAATAACATTTTTGTTAAATATATGTACATCCGTGTGTGTGTGTGTGTGTGTGTGTGTGTGTGTGTGTGTGTGTGTGTGAAGTACCATTATGTACTTTGAATCCAGTTAGAGAATCAGAGTGTGGATATCAAAAGATAGTGCATTATTTGAATCTAACTGGTTGCTGAATATTGGTAAGTAGCAAGGGTCAAGAAAAAAGAAGTCATTTTGAAAAATCAAATTGTTGGCAAGAAAAAAAAAAGAAAGATATCATTTAAAAAAAATCACATCAGGGCCGGGCATTTTGAAAAATCAAATTGTTGGCAAGAAAAAAAAAAAGATATAATTTAAAAAAAAATCACATTAGGGCCGGGCACAGTGGCTCATGCCTGTAATCCTAGCTCTCTGGGAGGCCAAGGCAGGCGGATCGTTTTGAGTTCAAGAGTTCGAAACCAGCTTGAGCAAGAGCGAGACCCGTCTCTACTATAAATAGAAAGAAATTAATTGGCCAACTAATATATAGAGAAAAAAATTAGCCGGACATGGTGGCGCATGCCTGTAGTCCCAGCTACTCGGGAGGCTGAGGCAGTAGGATTGCTTGAGCCCAGGAGTTTGAGGTTGCTGTGAGCTAGGCTGACGCCATGGCACTCACTCTAGCCTGGGCAACAAAGCGAGACTCTGTCTCCAAAAAAAAAAAAATCACATTAATCTCTTCATCTTCTCCTAACTGTGCAGACTTGGTCAAAGTCTTATCCTCTCAGGCCCTTGGTCTTAATGTCTCATGCTTCAGTTTCCCTATCTCTATAAGGTACAGATAATAGTACCTATCTTAATAAAAGATCATTCTGAAGTTAAATGAGCTAATAACTGTAAAATGCTAAGAATATTTTCTGGTCTAAGAGCTCAATAAATATTAGCTACTATATTTATGTAATAAATAAAAATATACACATATAGCGAAACACATCAATGAATGTTATTTCTAAGTTATAAAACTATATAGATGGTTCTTTTTTCCCCCTCAACATTTTATTTGCCCACATATTTTTATAATCAGATAAAAAATAATTCTGACACACAAAATGTGACCCTCCTACACATCTGGCACCCATATGACACATTACAGCCAAGCTATAAACTTCAATCTAGTAAATAACAGTTACTTTCTATTTAAGTTTATGCCCCAGTGCCATTTCTCTCTGAGCCACCTCTTATGTTATATTCTTAAAATACACACCCCATATTTTTCTATTATTTCCATCAAAATGCAGGGCAGTTTTATAGAGTTAGTTGCCAGTCAGACATCTTGACCTGTAAGTTCAACAAGTATATGAAATATAAATATAATTACTTTCTTTTCTTAAACTTGTGGCCCCTTCAGAATCAACTGCTCATGCCCCAAATTTTAGAATCATTTTCAAGCCCTCTTTTACTCACTCCAAATGCTATATATTCTATTTCTCTAATGTCCCTTTGCCTCCATCTCTTTTACCACTCTCTTAGTTCAGGAACTGAGTATCTCTTCCAAATAAGTATAATCACCTTTTTGACAGATTTCCTGCTTCATCCTTTTAAAAATCTACCCTACTTGAATTATCTTCCTAAAAAATATATTTGATCCTGCTATTCTCCTGAGAACCACTGCCCTCTACTACACATACACACAGCTCAATCAGGTTTTCAAGTGTCTCCAGTGTTTGATCTCTACCTAACGTTTACCACTCCCTCACTCCTTACCACATAAACCCACAGAAAGATTATGGTCTAACCACTCCAATTTCCTCTACTTTCAAATCCATTCTGAATCCTTCCATCTGTGCCTTCGCTTAAGCTATTCCCACGTCCTAGAAGGCCCTTCCTCTCATCACTTATCTGACAAAGACCAGTTAAAACTGACAAGTTAACAACAAAAAACTTTCTAGATCCCTTTATTCAAAATTCATCTGTCTGTATTACTGCATTACTTTATAGCACAGTGCATTTTCTGAGCATGCAATTATTTCATTTACTATAATGTGAACTTCAAGAGATCAGGAACCACAGTTTATCTCTCTTATAGCCTCTACAGTATCCAGCATAGATGTGGTATTGTGATACAGAAGAAACATATATTTGGTCTCTGACCACAGTTCCTGACATAGAGCACCTTTTAGTTCTTGTAATTTCCTAAGCAATAGTGGTACTCGGAGAATCTTTTGTTCTCATATTTGGTCTCTGACCCTGGTTTCTAACAGAGAGCTCCTAAGACCTCTATAATTTCCTGATAGAAACACTTTTGTTCTAATAAGACGACTCTTGTTGGACTCCTGGATAGCCTCAGAGTGGGTGCTGGTTACCAGGGGAACCAACCGTGTGATTAGAAAGCTGGAATTTTCACTCCACTCCCCAACTTCAGGGAGGGGAGAGGAGCTGAAGGTTAAGCTGGTCATCAATGGCCAGTGATTTAATCAATCATGCCTATGTAATGAGGCCTCCAGAAACCCAAAAGCACTGATTTTGGAGAGCTTTAAGATAATTGAACACAAGGAGGCATTGGGAGCATGGAAGCACATCAGGAAGGCATGGAAGCTCTGTATACCTTCCCACATACCTCACCCTATACATTTCTTCTATCTGGCTGTTGATCGGTATCTTCTGTAATACCATTTATAATAAATGAGTAAATACAAGTAAAGCATCTCTCTGAGTTCTGTGAGCCATCCCAGCAGATTAACCAAGCCCGAGGGGGGAAATCCCAATTTATAACAAGTCAGTCAGAAGTACAGGTCACAACCTGGGGCTTGTGATTGGACTCTGAAATAGGGGGCAGTCTGGTGGGACTGAGCCCTCAAACTGTGGAATCTGACAATATCTCCAGACAATGTTAGAAATTGGTTAAATTAGAGGACTCCCAGATGATGTCTGCTGTACAACTGCATGGTATGTAAGGAGAAAACACCATATATCTGGTGTCAGAAGTACTGCACTGAGTGGTGTGTGAGAATAGGAAAAACATTTGTTTTTTTTTTCCTATCTCTACAATAGAGTAGGCACATTTAATCAATTATATTAACAATATGGAACAGCTAAAACCAAAAAGAAATGCAGAAAGCTCCATGTGGGAGTAAAGCCCTATCACCTCAGGAAATTCATCAAAGTATATAAAAAGGAGGTAGGTAAGTAGATTAGACTTTTTTAATGTTAGGGGGCTCCATACAACCACTGAGCATAGCACAATGCTAAAAAGGTAATACATATATACTGTGTTTCCCCGAAAATAAGACCTACCCATAAAATAAGCCCTAGCAGGATTTCTAAGCATTTGTGCAATATAAGCCCTACCCCGAAAATAAGACCTAGTGATGGGTATGGCTATGCAGTGTATCTGCACAACCCATGCATTTCATCATGGAGTGGTAAAGAAGACAAGCAGCCCTTCTTATCTGCCCCATCATGACAGCTACTATCCCAGAGGTGACCGGAGAGGTGCGGGCAGCCCCACCAACAAAGTCGGCTCCCCTTTCAGGTCCCAGCCATCCTGTGCGTGCTGCAAGCTGAGGCTTTGAGGGGAAAATAATGCAACCCCTGAAAATAAGCCCTAGGGTGTTTTCTTGAGGAAAAATAAATATAAGACACTGTCTTATTTTCAGGGAAACACAGTAGATGGACACAGTCATTGCCTGCCAAGTATGCATTCTCCTTCTGCTGATAAATTTCATTTGGGAAAACCCTCTCTTCTCAATTCACCTTGCTTAAACAGCCTTAATCTTAATCTTTTATCAAGGGTGATGATGAATCTAAGACAAATTAAAATTAAGCCATATTAGAATTGTAAGAGGCTCCTGCTTTAGTTCTTTAACTTTTTTCTCTCCAGACTTATAATGGGCAGAGTAGAGTGATAGGAATGATGTTATATACCATGAGGAGAGAGCCTGACTGAAAATGAAGCCAAGAGAACGTGGAGAGACCAAACACTGATGACATCACTTGAACTACTGGATCTAGCCTGGGTTTCCCTAGAATTTTCAGTTACATGAGCTAGCGAATTCTGTCTTACTCGAGCTCATTTGAGTTGGTTTTCTTGTTTGTACGTGAAAGGATACTGTTAAGTAAAGGTTCTTTCTCATTGCAGGAATTAGAAATTAGTAGAATAGAAAGAATATGGGCTTGGGAGTTCAATCAGATCTGGCTTCATATTCTTGTTCTGATACTATCTGGCCAACAATGGCCAAGAAAATCCAATCTTCTGAACTTTGGCATTCTCCATTATAAATAAGGAAAAATAATCACAACTGTGAATTATAGTGGATAATTAAATGAGAAAGTAACCCACAATGTTCCACAGTAACACTCAATTATCATTCAAATGTTCTGAGGCTTTAAAAAAGTCATTGAAAGTCATTTAAATTTCATCCTTCCAAGATAAGATTATCATAAAGAATAAAAATAAAGTTACTTCTCTGATCTACCTATAGATAGTTACAGATTAGTTTTAAAAAAATGTATTGGTTATAAGGTTGAAAATACTACTTCTCCCTAAAAATAAGCTATTCAAGAACAGAATTCTACCCTCTATGACTCAAACACTATTTTTATGCCGTCACTTCTTGTTTTTCTTTTTAAATGACTCCCCAACAAAAATATTTACCTTCAAGGTATATACTCCCATTCTGCCTGGAACCTTATAGAAGATGCCCTCTTCACCTCTAGAGTTTGTGTGCAGCATTGCATTCAGGCACGCAAGAGGAGAAGTTCCACTGCAAAACAAAAAGATGATGACAAAGAACACAATGATTAGCTTCTGTGTCTAAATATCCTATTTAACACTGACTTAAGATAAAATTAATTGGTTAGTATTCCTTTGACTTACACATATTTTATAAACTATAAAAAGTCTATCAATATAGAAAGAGGCTGCCATGGAGAAAACAGATATAAAATTCATTCCCATCTATCTAAAGAAAAAATAATTCCTTAATCCCAATCCAGTATCAAGTAAGTCAAGTACAATACAGTAGTATCACAAATATATTTTGTAAACATTCTACTTTATTTAGCACAAGCTTCACAATCGTCCAGAGGTAAAAAAAGGAAAAGACACACACACACACACACACACACACACACACACACGTTCAAATAAACAGTATTAATTTCCTTGCATACTGATGCACCAGACTGAATTTGGGTCATGAAACTATCACATTGCCATGATCTCTTCCATTTAAACCTATCAAGATATCACTTAGAAAGGTATTAATATGCTTGTGAATATTCATTATGTATGTAGCAACTTAGTTATGTGTTTATTAATTAATAATTATTAATTTATTTATTATATTTTCTAGAATTTAAGCATATGATAAAATCTGTAAAAAATTTAAAATATTTTATATATAAATAATTTAATGTATATTAAGATATATATTAATATAATATAAAATAATTTATATATTTTATGTATAAAATATATAAATATTTAAATATCTGTAAAATTAATATATTATTTCATATATAATTAGTATATAATATTATATTATATTAGTATATAAATAATATTAATTATTATATATATTATATATTATTTTCTAATTATAATCATATTTCATTTTCCTGTCTTTTTGTACTTACCTAACAAATAGGAAGTGCTTTTTCCCTTTCTTAAGGGAATGGCACTAATAGTTTACCACTGAACCTAATGTTAGTTTATTATTTAAGATAATTACTCACATATAAGAAAAAGACAACTGTAGATCAGATGCACACTTTTTAACATACACCAAATGAAATCATATGCATTAAAGAGTTCAATATAAAATATCAAAATTGACGAGCATAAAATTAAGTAAAATTATGTTTATCTCAGATGATTAACCTTTAGTTTTTATGCAATGGGAATTATAAAAACATCAAGAAATTAGATAATATTAAAATTAAGAACTTCTAAATAAGAACAATATAATACAGAAAATAAAAGTAAGGTAGTAGGAAAAACATTGTTAAAAGTCAGGTATTAGCATAAGTTTAAGAGCTGTAGTATTAATATTTAAAGACAGTACTATAATACTTAAAGACAGTATTCATATAGCTAAAGAAAATACTACAAACATTGTTAGATAAACTATTAGAATATGTCATACAAAAATACAAGTAGCAAGCAAACATAGGAAGTTCTTATGGAAGCAATCAAATTGGAAATAATCAGGCGTCAGGAGTCACTGAAAATGTGTGGTGTCCTTAAATTTTTTTTTTTTTTAATTTCTCACAATACTTAAGGTATACTTAAGGCTTAACTGCATATTTCCAACTGTTCTCCCTCTCAGCTCTCTGTTGTTGCTATTCAATAACCAAAAATAATCCTACTAGAAGAGGCTATTAAATATCTTGGGTATACCTAAAGATGAGAGAGCAGGGACATTGAGTCCACTGTCTTTTGGTACTATGAAGGTGTTGAGGGTCAAAAACTAGAAAGGTTTGTTTCCCCTAACAACACAGGTGGAGAACAACAACAACAAAAATACAGAAAAACCTTTTGCTAAAGAAAGTATTGGGCATTTACAGGTTGATTTTCAAAGCTATGTTTATCCAATTTGGATATGTGCACGTTAAAAATACAAGTAATGCAATTCCAATCAGGATCCCAAAGCTTCTATCAAGGAAATATATTAAAAGTTGCCAAGAAATTTCTAGGAAAAAATGATGGGAGACTTAAGAAGATTAAATTGTACTCTAAACTGCCATTATTGAAGCAGTATGTTTCTAGGACAGGAAATATGGGCAATGAACACTCTCACAGACTACAGATAGAAGAAAAGAGCAAATGCAGAAACAAATCATAATAAATTGAAAAGTTACCATTTACACTTAGTAGGAAGATGGGGTCATGCCATGGTTCCCATTATTTGATTACCTGGCATCTGTTCCCCTTTCTTCTGGAGATAGTACAAAAATTACCTGTGAAACAGCCCTTTTCCCACTCTCAATCTTGTGGCTGAGAACAACTTAAATCCCATGCTCATCACAGGGGTAAATCCAAACTGGCTTAAGCTAATCAGTTTGTCCCACCCTACTCGTTGGTCCAAGTCCACAATGACAGATTTAGGAACAAATACATGACTTAATCAGGGCCAACAATCAAAGAAAACAGTATAACCTAGAAGATAGAGAAAGCTTTCTATAGAAGAGAAAAAAAACCCAAAACCACAAAAGAAAGAAACATGCTGACTATATAAAAATAAAAATTTCTATATGGGGAAAAAAAATACAACAAAATATAAAAAATATATGAAGCTGGTATAATTAACTGCAAAACATACAGCAGACAAAAGATTAACAGTCTTAAGAAGAGATTCATTTAGGAAAACACAAACAACCCATTAGAAAAAATAAAGGTTATGAACAAATGATTCATAAAATATCAATGAAAATGACCAATAAAACACATGAAAAGCTCAAACTTAACGGCGTCAAAAGAAAGCAAATTAAATCAAGATACTATTGGTCTGACTGGGAGAAATGAAATGGATTCAAGCCTTATACCAATGTTGATTTCCTTGTTTTGACATTGTACTATATTTATATAAGATACTACCATTGAAGGAAGCTAGGTGAAATGTATGTGGAACTCTATGTACTATTTTTGCAATTTCCTTTGAGTCTATGATTATTTCAAAATAAAAGAAAAAACCAAATGGATTAAGAAAAAATCTACTGCCGATAAGGTTATGAGCAAATAAGCGCTCACAGATTGTGGGGTAAGGGGGGACTGAAAACTGCTACCTTTCCCCACATTTCTCATTTTTCCCTTAGGAAAGTAACATGGAAGTATCCATTAAAATTAAAAATATCTGGGACCCCTGATGCAACAGTCCTACTTGAATCTATCCTACCAAATTAAGGCCATAAGTTAAGTACATATGTACAAGGATTTACTCCACCATTTGAAGCATCAAAGCACTGAAAAATGAGCTGGGCACAGTGGTGCAAGCTGGTAATCCCAGCTACACTGGAGGCTGAGGCAGGAAGATCTTTAAGCCTAGGAGTTCCAGACCAGCCAGGGCAACATAGCAAGAACCCTGTCTCCAAAAAAAGTCACTGAAAAATGACCTCAAAGTCCATTAATAAGGGAATGGCTGACCATGTTAATAGAGTACCAACAGGACATGAATCAATAACAGCCATGTTAATAGCTAAAGGAGTGCTAACTATGTTCTAGGAAGCCTTTTGTTTAGCTCTCACAGCAATCCTATGAGGCAGGCAAAATCACTATACCATTGTTACAAATGAAGAAACTAACATATAGAGGTGTTTAATAAGCTGTTCAATATCACACTGTTAGTTAATGGTGAAGCCAAGATGCTAGTAACAAGAAAAAAAAAGTTCAATAATCCACTTGGTAAGTTTATCCCAATTAATGATATTCAATTTCAATATTAGGTACCTACTTTGTTTAAGGCAGTAAACCAAGATCTGTGGAGCCAAAGAGGAAAGCTTTCTTGGCTCAGAATCTAATAGAGAAGATAGATAAGGGAGCAGACAGCCACACCATATTGTGATCAAGGCTATTAATATAGACATAGGTCCAAAATCCCTGATCCAAACACTTAGGCTGATTGTTTCAGACATAAAAAGTTTTTGGATTTTAGAAAAGTAACATGATATGACATAAATTACATAACACCGCCATTAGGGGCAGCATCCCATAACCAAACACAATGAAACATATGAATATTCACACTGAGATAAACAAGGATTATGTAGAGTCTCATGTCAATTCAAGAGAAGTGTTGTCAAATGAGTTTTGGTGCTAAACATTGGAAGAAATTTCATTTTTCAAGTATTTGGGTTATCGTAATCACGGATAAGAGACTGTGAACTTGTATATAAAAAGTGCTTTAGGTCAGAGGAAAAAAGAAATCTAGTCTAGGGGTAAGCACTCAACAACAATAACAACAAAAACAACAACAAAAGCACCAAAACAGTCCCTAAAGTGAAACCTATGAAATAGAAAGTAACTGGCATCAACATCTAATGAAAAGATGTGAGAAGAGTAACTATACAGAAACCATCACAAAATTTCCTTGAAAATCTGGGTATAATTTCCCTCTTTAAAACAAGGAAGTTTTGAAAAACCAAAAAAATATACACAACACAGTACTATTTAAAACAAAATTTAGGGCCGGGCGTGGTGGCTCACGCCTGTAATCCTAGCACTCTGGGAGGCCAAGGCGGGCGGACTGCTCAAGGTCAGGAGTTTGAAACCAGCCTGAGCAAGAGCAAGACCCGGTCTCTACTATAAATAGAAAGAAATTAATTGGCCAACTAATATATATAGAAAAAATTAGCCGGGCATGGTGGTGCATGCCTGTAGTCCCAGCTACGTGGGAGGCTGAGGCAGGAGGATTGCTTGAGCCCAGAAGTTTGAGGTTGCTATGAGCTAGGCTGACGCCATGGCACTCACTCTAGCCTGGACAACAAAGCAAGACTCTGTCTCAAAAACAAAACAAAACAAAACAAAAAATTTAGATTTGATCTCAGAAACATACAAAAAGTCAGAGAATCCTGACAAGTTTGTTTTTGTGAAAAAAAAGCAATGGCAGAGGAATAAAATAGGATATACTGCCTATGATGGCTGGAATACATCTTCATGGAAAGTAGCTCCAAAATTCTATAATTAAATAAAAATAACTGAATGACTTGAAGAAATAAGGCACCATCTGTGTAGGCGATAAAAATCTTAGTATTGAAATCTATACCA